GGGTCAGTGATAAAAGCATCCTGTCCAAATGCTTGAACAGGGCAGCTCCGGGACAGGTTTCCCGCAGCCCAGATGTGATCAATCACAGCGGCTCACGGCTTTCCTATCTTCATCTTTCTTTTTTTTTTCCTTTTTTTTCCTATCTTCATCTTTCTCACCCATCCCTTCCTTTTCCCTCCCCGCAGCCACTCGGCGGCCGGGGCCCTGAGAACCTCGCAGGCTGATGCTTGTAAACGCCTCCCTCCCGACTGCACACCACCGCCAGATGCCTCTTCCTAAAATACCACGACTCTGCCAGCCTCCTCCAATTTCCACCTGCCCTGTCAAAAATCTAACTTGGCTCCACGCTGTCCCAGATCAAATGCAAACTCCTTAGCTTAGCAACTCAGGCGCCCCACAACTCCCTCCCGAGCCAAGGCTCCCCGACCCTGGCCGTGCAGTCTGCAGTTGGCCCCCAAACTCGCCAGGGGACCGTCACCCAGACCTCTGCTCTTGCTCCAGGCCCCGGCACCCCACCCCATCTTCTCCGCCTGGTCACGGCCTCTCTGGGCTGCACCCCACCCCGTCCCCGCCAAGGCTGCCTGGTGTGGTCAGCAGGGTGTGGAGCAGGCAGTGGACCTCGAGGCAAGCCCGAAAGGATGGGAAGACACGTGACCTGCTGAGTCTCTCCTTGTACTACTTCCTTCCTGTTGCACTCAGCTTTCTGGATGCACCTGGCCTCCCCTCCTGGACCCAAGCATGGGGATCCGGGCGATTCGCGCCCTTGCCGTGGAGGGCACCGGACAAGGCAGGCGATGCACGCAGCGACCGTGTGCTGTGCGCCAAGCACTGGGTTATGCACATCACAGTATTTACCTCTTTCTCCCAGGACCCCTAGAAAATGCCTCGCTCTGCCCGTCGAGGGAGAGCAGGATCCTCACTTCAGACACATACTGAGTTGCAGAAACAGGACTCCTCACCCATCTGCCGAACCCGAGCCCACGTCCTGGGGAGCAGCCCCCTCTCAGCGCCCACCACTCATTCACTCCGCATCTACGAAGCGCTCACCAAGGGCCAGGAGGCTCATGCGAGGTATGGGTGGTTGGTGGGAACCAGACAGACAGGGTGCCTGCCCTCGAGGAGCTCACAGGGGTGGCAGAGGGCAAGGACTCCGTTCGTGGGGGGCTCCACCGGGCACAGACCAGATATCTACAGCCCGAGACACAGCATCAGGCCATGGCAGTACCTGGTATCTGGTATCTCCACCTCTGCGGTGGAGAACCTCAGCTCCCTGCCAGCGACATGCTTTGTTCAAGACACAGCCCAAAACCAAACAAACTTCACATCTGCCTTCACCAGGCTGGAAAGAGTGGAGGAAAGGGGTCTACCTTGGAAACCAGAAAACCTGGTTCCTCCACTTAGTAGCTACGGACAGATGAACCGCTCACCTCTTCGATGCTCATCTGTTAAATGGTGACAGCAATATTCACGATGCATATTAACTATGTGCCAGATGCTGTTCAAAACACTTGAAGAGCATTATCTCATTTAATCCTCATAGAAGCCTTACGAGGAGGTACTGTTATCCCAAGGCTGTCTGGCTCCCAAGTCTTAACTTTTTGCACGCGATGCTGCCTCCCTCCTAAGGGTGGACCTTCCTGGTGGGGTTGTTGCAAGTGGGCCAGAGCTCTGCAGTGGGCAAGCCTCCACCTCCTCACCCCAGAGAGCTGATTTCTGAAAGCCTAGATTCAGAAATGGCATGGCTCTTGCTGATTTTTTTTTTTTAATTTGGCTGCACCAGGATCTTAGTTGCAGCTCTTGGGATCTTGAATCTTCATTGCAGTGTGCACGATCTTTAGTTGCGGTGTGTGGCTCAGCTGACAAAGAATCTGCCTGCAATGTGGGAGACCTGGGTTCAATCGCTGCATTGGGAAAATCCCCTGAAGGAAAAAGGCTACCCACTCCAGTATTCTGGCCTGGAGAATTCCATGGACACAAAGAGTCTGATACGACTGAACGACTTTCACGTCACAATCTCTTAGCTGCAGCACATGGGATCTACCTCTCTGACCAGAGATGGAACCCAGGCCCCCTGCATTGGGAGTGTGATTCCTAGCCACTGAACCACCAGCCAAGTCTCTTGCTGGTCTTAACGTGGGTGATTCTGCACACTTTGGGTGTCCATGCCCCAGTCTCTCACTGGCGGGATCCACCACAAGGAGAAATCGGACCAGAGTCTGTACTGGGGTCCCTGCTGCTCGCCGTTTCTTAGAACCGAGTGAATGTTCAGCACAGGGGATGGGTGGACCCACACCCGAGTCCCAGACCCACCACTCACACCAGTCACTCAACCTCTCCAGCGTCCATCCTGGGATGAGGAAGACCTGAGTCAGGTTTCTGCATGACGGCAGATCCTCAGTCAGCAGTCACTACACAGAGAGAAGGGCTGGACTTTCATGGCGCGAGGTTACCTTCCCCGCTGGGAAAGCATCCCATCTGCAGGGACAGGCCGTGGGGGCAGTGCTGCCTCAAGGACGGGTCATACCCCAAGGCCAGGGCTGAAGCCTGGCACAAGCTCCAACTTTCTCTTAAGTCTCCCACATCATCTCACGCAGTTATATTAAACAAGGCTCTGCTTCCTCAAACTTCAGGTAAGAGTGACATGCCTCCTGGCCAAGTAATGCAAGCTGTGAAGGCGTGGACCCTGTCTGTCCTGTTCACTGTACAATCTTGTCCCCAGCACACATAACAAACAGCACAAAGAAAGCCCCTCATACATATGCTGTGTACGGTGTATTAATCTTACCAATTAGCTTCCAGCACCCCCTCACACCCCACTCTCTGCCTGATGGCGTGCATCCCTGTCTAAGAAGGCTCAATGTTCCAAGGACCTGCCCAGCCTCCATTTCCCTGTGCGGTCAGTCATCTGTCCCCTCCCTTCCCCCAAGGAAGGTAAGAGAATAGGACTTCGAGTTATAAACAGGAATATCTGCTTTCAATCAGATGATTTAGCATCTCCCTAACCTCAAGCCAACCGATCAGTTTGTGAAGGATTCCGCCCAAGAACAGCCAGCTGGGCTGAAATGAACAAGGCTGTATATACACGTGGGGTCTGAGCCATGCATCTCACCTACAGCAGGAGACCAGCTGAGACACCAACAGTACTGTTTCACCTGCTTCCCCTCTCCTCTCCTCTCCTGTCAGGCCAAACCAGGTGGGAGCTGGAGGGACAACTCCCGAGGGGGCCCGGCCCATCCCTGCAAGCTGCAGCCCCACCACCCAGCACCAGAATCCTAACTCTAAATGAACACTAATTCCTACGTTAGAAGTTAGAGCTGGGCAAGGAAGAGTGCTCTGAAACTATAAAGCACTTACAATAGTGAGATTATTACCTGCTAAGAGAATGCAAAGAAATTCTATTTGCCTATGCATTTGTAACTGATGCCAACAAAAATCATGGCATTTTCTCCAAAGTCCAAAGTATTTTAGATTCTCAAACTGCTATTTCCTTCTAAGTTAGATAACTGAAAACTAGCTGGTTTCTCTATCGTCAAACCTACTGAAAATAAAAAACACAGTGGTCTTAATTCATTTACCTATTATGCAACCCCATACCACCATTTCTGCCCTATCCCAACTGGTCTCTGTTGGTTTATTAGTCAGAATATTCAAGCAGGGAAGAAAGTGAACAATAAGCAGTCAGAAATTACTTACAAGCCTAGGGGGATACTAAGAACAAGTTATTAAGGCCATGAGTATGAAATCCAAATGGCTAAGTTCAAGACACGCCCCAAAAGGGAACACTCCAAGCTATTTCCTTCAATGCCAGGTACTGTTCTAGGCCCCAGGGATACAGACAAGCAAAACAAAAGACAAAACTCCCTGCCCTGAGAGAGTTCACGTCAAAAAAGCCTGCATCACTGCATTACTGTTTCACTATGAAATGGCATCCCCGTGCAAAGGACCAGAACCGCGTCGGTAGCCAGTAAGAGCTGCTCCCCGCTCCCCATCTCTGAGTGACCATCCTCACTGTTTGCTACACAGTGTCCTTCACATCCTGAACACACAAGCAGCCTGGGACAATGGGAAGGATGCAGTTAGAGCCTTCTGTCAACTAAACAGCATCTTTAGTAAATCATTCCACTGTCTGAACCTCAGCTTCTTCACCTGTAAAATGGGGACAGCAACTGCCTCACAAAGCCCTGTGTGGGTTAAGGGCCTGGCACCTAGCAGCCCCACCCACCCTTCCAGAAATGTAGGCCTTTTCCTGCCACTCCTTCCATGATCCTTTCAGATTATCCAAGTAAGATCCAAATACAGGAAGCTCAGAAGCCTCAAGTATCGTCCCTTCTGGGTCATTACAGGCATCCTTCCATCACCTCTGGGGCTCAGGCCAAGGCAAGATGCTCCCCACTGCACCCGACCCCCACACAGCCAGAATGCTGCCGTGAGCAGGTCCACTGGCCACGCCAACCCTCCTCCCTGCTTCTGCCCTAACAGCAAATGTACAAAGCCTCCCTCCGAGTCCTCACCCAAAACTGTCCTGGAGAAGTCCTTCCCCACCCAGGCCTGGGGTTGGGCCACCTCCCCTGCAGTCAGTTCTCTACCGATGCTATCAGAGAAGGCCAATCACAAAGGCCACGTTTTTCATCACCACCATACAGGAAGGCGTTAAGAAAAAACCGAGCTGCTCTGAATTAGTCACCCTAGTTCAGCAGCAACATCTCTTCCTTAAACAAGGAACCGAGAGCCTCAAAACCCTTGGGGCCCAAAGTCCACATGCAAACATCTGCCTGCCCCTGGCCTAAACACTCAGTCCACTCGCCCAAGGCTCCTTGGCCACTTGAAGCAGAAGCCCTCTGGCCCTTCCAACCTGGGTGCTGGGCCTGCCAGGCAAGAAGGTTCCAAAAGTGAAGGGCTGGCCGATGGGGGGCCTAGGTGAAACCTCAGGCCAGTCAGAGCGCCGAGTAGCTGCCTTCATTACCAAAACAAACAGCAGAGGGGAGCCAGAGGCGGCTCACCTGGTCCGAGGCACCTCCATAATCTGCAGTTCCAACCTTCACGAGTTGACAGTTGAGGGGGAAAGGGAGGCTGCGTCTGCAGGGGTGCATCGTGTCCGGGCCGTCTGCTGGCCTCGGAGCCCGGGGCGGGGGGGGAGAGCCCAAAGGCGGCGGCCTCACAAGGGCGATTGTGCGCTCAGCCCCGGCCCGCGGCTCCCCCGCCCTCTCCCCTCGGCTGGCGCGCACACCCCGGGCGCCCTGCGGACCCCGGCAGAGCGCTCCGCCAGCCCCGCGCCCCCCGGCGCCCAGGAGGCAGTCGCCTGGGAGGGCCCCGCGGGGCGCCGCGCTGCCTTCCGCGTACACGGATGCCCGCCCTGCCCTCGTCCGCTCGCTGCCAGGAGGAGCACCGCGTAACCCCGGGATCGCGTCCCCACCCGGGCCGAGGGGCGCCTCTCGTTTCCCACGGGCGGCAAGGAGGGCGCGCCCCGGGCGGAGGTGAGGGGACCACCTGGGTCGGGGGCAGGGCGGGCAGAGGGGGACCCCAGGCTGGGGGACCAAGCCCAGGACAGAGTGGGGCTGACGCAGGCCGAGCGCTGAGAAGTCCGGGGAAGGGGGACGGCGGGCGCGGAGAGGGTGACGTCCGGGCGGGGGCCCGGGGCGCAGGAGTGCGGTCCAGACTTGAGACCGAGGAGGGAGGAGACGAGCCAGGCTGAGCCCGCGGAGCGGAGGGGAGCATATGTGGGCTGAAGCCATGGAGAAGGGGCGAACAGGGGTCCGGACTGAGGCCATGGAGAAGAGGGGACGGGGGGACAGAGGCCGTGGAGAAGGGGGGACGGGGGGACAGAGGCCACGGAGAAGGGGCAGAGGCCACGGAGAAGGGGCGAGTGGGGGGTCCGGACAGAGGCCACGGAGAGGGGGGCAGGGGGACAGAGGCCATGGAGAAGGGGAGAGAGGAGAGACAGAGGCCATGGAGAAGGGGCAGAGGCCATAAAGAAGGGGGAATAGGGGGTCCGGACAGAGGCTATGGAGAAGGGGGGAGAGGGGAGACAGAGGCCATGGAGAAGCGGGGAGAGGGCAGACAGAGGCCATGGAGAAGGGGGGAATAGGGGGTCCGGACAGAGGCCATGGAAAAGGGGGGAATGGGGGTTCCGGACAGAGGCCATGGACAAGGGGAGACGCGGGGACAGAGGCCTAGCCTGGGCCGGAGGAGGAAGAAGCGACGGCCCAGCCTGGGTCGAAGGGACAGGGGATGGGGGCCTAGGCCGGGGGAAACAGGGACCACGCCTGGGTCTCCGAAGGGGGTGCCCGGCCAGGACCATGGGTCCTGGAGGGTCTGGGCCGGGCTACGGGGGAGCGCAGCCTGGACTCGGACGTGGAGTCCAGCTGGAAGCAGGGCCGGGGGCCGGGGTCGCCCCCAGCCGGGTCCCCTCCCGAGCTGGCTGGCGGCGAGGGGGGGGGTCCCCCCGGGCTCCGGGCGCGCCCCTCCCCCACCCGGGGAGCCCACCCTCCGCGGGCCAGGCCGGGCGGCGGGAGGGATCCGAGCCCCGGCGGGGCCCCGGGCCGGGGCGGGGGCCATCGGGCCTTTACCATGGCGGCGGCGGCGGCGGCGGCGGCGGCGGCGGCGCTCCCGGCGTCTGTGGCTCTCCCCCCCGCAGCAGGGCCCGGCGCTTCCACTTCCCCGGGTGTCCGAGAGTGAACATCCGGGTCAGCGCCCCCTCCCCCCGCGCCGAGCCGCCGCCGCCGCCGCCTTCCTTCCTTCCCCGCCCCGGCCCAGCCCGGGCCCGCCCCCCACGCAGCCGGCTCTCGGCCAATGAGCGCGCAAGGCCTCGGCGATCGCCAAGTATGGAGAGCGGCGCGGGGGGGCGGGGCACCGAACCCGGAAGAGAGGGGAGGGCCCTGAGGAGGGCGGGGCCTTCTAAGGGGCGGGGCCTGCGGGCGGGGATGCGGAAGGCGCTGGGACCCCGATCGGTCAGCAACCACCCCCACCCCCAACCCGCTGCACGCTCTCGCCCCTGCGGCGCGCCCGGAACTGGTGCGGCCGGCCGGGCAGGCCCGGCCCGGGGACGCAGCGGGGCGCGCGATCCCCGAGTGCAGCCCCCGAACTGCCGCTTTTTGCTACGTGTGGGACCTGCAGCCAGTCGCTGCAGGTGGCCTCGGGCCACGTTCCGCTCTGAGCAGCCAGCAGCACACACCGAGCCTGGGGTGCAGCCCCGAAAATCGCAGGGGTGAACGGGACCTAACGATCCCTGCTCCGAGGATGCGATCAGCACCACCCAGGCAGAAATGAGAAAATCCGGCATGAGAAACGTCACAAGTTAAGAGGAGCGCCCGCCCCTTTGCCTAGGGGGGCTGCCTCATTCCTCAAATTTTCTTTTCTCTTCGCTCAACAAGTATTTACAATTGATCCAGAAGTCAGGAGGCCTGGGACGCTAGCCCTGTAGTAATAACTGTCTTCCCTAGCTTTCTCTCTCTCTCTCTCTTTTGTAAGATGCAAATCAGGCCACTGGTGAAGGGACTGTAAACTACGAAACGTACAAATGACAGGAATGGGCACCACCAGCCAGGCCATGACAGCCCACGCCGTCCTTGGGTATAGCTCACAGTCAAGTACAAATTACCACTGGCATTGAAAGGAACACAGATAAGTCCCCCAAGAATGATTCAGACCTGTATTAGGAGGATTCAGACAAGGGTGTGGCGTTTAGGACTTTTCTCTTGGTATTTATTGAGCATCTACTGTGTACCAAGCCCTACTCTAGGCTTTTAAGGATAGAGCAATGGACAAGACCCTCCCTGTTGCAGGATTTAAACAAGGGAGGGGAGACAATTAGGTACTAAGTAAAAATGGAGATGTGGAGGAAAATCAGAGTGAGGGAACCAGCAGCAGATTAGCCAAAGTGGGGCCAAGGAAGGCCTAACTTTTTTTAAAACTAATTTTTATTGCAGGAGACCTGTGTTCCATCCCTGGGTCAGGAAAATTCACTTGGAGAAGGGAATGGCTACGCACTCCAGTATTCTTGCCTGGAGAATCCCATGGACAGACGTGGGCTACAGTCCATGGGGTCACAAAGGGTCAGACAAGACTGAGCGACTGACTCTTCATAGTTGCTTTACAATGCTGTGTTATTTTATACTGTACGGCAAAGTGAATCAGCTATACGTATACATATATCCCTTCTTTTGTGGATTTCTGGAAGGCCTAACGTTTGATCAGAGGGAGGGACAAGGAACAGCAAGGGCACAGACCGAGTGAGGACAGGCCCTGGTGTGACTGTGGCACAAGGAGGTGAGATGGATGGCTCAGATTGAACACGGGGAGAGAGGCAGGAGCTGAGTGAGGTCAGAGAGGGGCAGGGCAGGGACAGGATCTGCCCTGGGCTTTCAAGGGATCGGGAGACTGCTGTGTTCTGAATGGACTGTAGGGGGACTAGGGCTGTTGGAAAGACCTTTCTGTATGAAAGGCATTTGTTATTTATTTCAAAAGCACTTATATGGGACTTCCTGTGTGATGGGCGCTTCTATGCACTCTGCAAATAATAACTCGTTTAATCCTCATAACAGAGGCCTGGGGAGGTAAACCCTAGGTCACACAGCAGAGAGATGCAACTCTGGGCATGAGAAGAAAGGAGTCAGGATGATGCTAAGATTTTCAGCTTGATCAGCACCAGAAGGATTTGCCATTTATCCATCTGTGGAGGATTGTGGGGGGCGGGGGAGTAGAAGTCTGGGTATTTTGGTTTTCTTTTTCTTTTCTTTTTTGAGGAGCTGGCTAGTAAGAATCCATTTGGGGCAAGTTATGTTTGAGTTGTCTTTCAGAGGTTTAAATAGAGATGTCAAGTAGATATGAAAGTTTGGAGTTGGTGATAAATTGATGAGAACTGTCAGCTAATAAATGATACTTTGAGGTATTTAAATGCATAAGACACCTAGGTGAGCTCACTTAAGAGGTGAACATAGAAGTGAGTGAGCCTACACTCATGACCCCAGGTCTGATCACATCACTCTCCTGCTCAAAAACCTGTGAAAGTTAAGTTCACTCATAATAAAAGGCCCCGAAAACCAGCCCAGAACTCGGGGACAGGTTAATCCATCCCTCTCATGTGGCCGCATTTCTGCTGCTTTTGACGAATCTGCTGCATTCTTGACTGTCTGGCACCCTCAGTTTGCCTATAGCCCTATTCCCTCAACATTTCAGCCTGCATTGGGGGGGGTCATCCTGGGACCTTTGTCCCTCCTTTATTCTCTGCATCAGCTTGTCCTATTAACTGGAAGACTCTTTTGTGTTTCGTAGCTTAGCTCCTAAGACAGAATCAAGTTAACTCATCTCATCTTTTAATGATGACAGCTCATTGGGCAGGTCACTGGCCAGCTCCACAGACTGGCTGCCCACAGATGAGATCCTACCCCTTAACCAGTCATCTGTTGCTATGAACATGGGGGCATGTGGCATTAAAGAGCTACTTTTGAGGGGCTGTGGGTACGAGGCAAATTCCATCATTACTTTTAGTACTGTTTCTTCTTTCCTCTTTCAAAAGCCCAATCTCATATCATGTTCTTCCACCTGCCACATCTTCTTTACCTGTCTCTTTTTCTTCTTGGCCAACCCTGGTTAGACTCAGCTCTTCCACTACTCTCTGCCTGCATCAGAATATCTGAATATTGATGGAAAATTAAAAGTGACAGGCGTCATTTTAAGTCGATGTCCACTAGTTTCAAATGAGCCCTCAATCCTGCCTAGCCTTCCTACTATATTTTCCTGCTGTGTTCAGTTCCCACACTCTACGAGGACGACTTTTCAGTCTTCTTCCTTTGTCCCTTTCTCATCTTTCACTCTCAGCAGATGAGCTGGTCTCTTACTTCACAGACATGATGGAGTTAGACAGAAACCTCCTCTACCAACAATTCTGCATCTTCCCCATGTTTTCTTCGTTCCCTGATTTTTAAATTGAAGTTGCTCCTTGGAAGAAAAACTTGACAAAGCTAGACAGCGCATTAAAAAGCAGAGACATAACTTTGCTAACAAAGGTCCGTATAGTCAAAGCTATGGTTTTTCCAGTAGTCATGTATGGATGTGACATTTGGACCGTAAAAAAGGCTGAGCGCCGAAAAATTGATGCTTTTGAATGGTGGTGCTGGAGAAGAGTCTTGAGAGTCCCTTGGACTGCAAGGAGATCAACCCAGTCAATCCTAAAGGAAATCAACCCTGAATATTCATTAGAAGGACTGATGCTGAAGCTTAAGCTCCAGTACTTTGGCCACCTGTTGTGAAGAGACATTGGAAAGACTCTGATGCTGGGAAAGGTTGAGGGCAGGAGGAGAAGGGGGCAGCAAAGGAGAGATGGTTGGGTGACATCACCAACTCAATGGACATGAGTCTGAGCGTACCCTGGGAGATAGCAAAGGACAGGGAAGCTTGGTGTGCTGCAGACAGGACTGAGTGACTGAACAGCGACAGTTGATTTACAATATTGTATTAGGGAGATCTTCTGGTGGCCTGGGAGTGAGGACTCCGCACTTCTACTGCAAGGGGCTCGAGTTCAGTCACTAGTCAGCAAACTAAGATACCAGAAGCCATGCAACATGGTCAAAAACAAAAACAACTACAACAAAATATATTTTTTAGTTTCAGGTGCAGAGCAAAGTGATTTATTTATACATACATACATATATATATATATGCTTTTTTCCAATTCTTTTCCTTTATAGATTAGTAGAAGATATTGAATATGGTTCCGAGTGCTTTTTAAAAAATTCATTGAAGTGTAGTTACTTCACGGTATTGTGTTAATCATTGCTCTAGTGCAAAGTGACTCAGATGGATGGATGTGTGTGTGTATATGTGTGTGTATACACACATACACACCCTTTTTCATATTCTTTTCGATTATGGTTTATCACAGGTTATTTTCCCCCAATTTTGTTTGTTTGTTTGTTTTATTTTATTGACGTATAGTTGATTTACAATGCTGTGTTAGTTTTAGGTTTACAGCAAAGCGATTCAGTTTTATGTCTGTCTGCCTACATATTTACATGTATCTATACATGTACAGATACACACATGTACATGTGGGGCCTCCCCAGTGGCTCCGCGGAAAAGAATCCGCCAGCAATATAGGAAACTTGCAGGAGAAATGAGTTCGATCCCTGGGTTGGGAATATCCCTTGGAGGAGGAAATGGCAACCCACTCCAGTATTCTTGCCTAGAAATTTCTATGGGCAGAGGAACCTGGCCAGCTACAGTCCATGGGGCCGCAAAGAGTTGGACATGACTGATCAGTTGAGGAAACAACAAACAACATAAGACGCGTGAAAAAGGCATTACCCAGAAGTGTGCCCAGCATGGTTTCTTTCTTCCTTCAATTAAGTCTCCACAGCTGGAACTGTTGGATTAATAAATGCACAGTTGTTGCAAGAGCTGAGACTTGTTTAAAATCATCTCTGATTTTAACAGGTTAGAGCCTGCTTCCTGAGTTGGGGAATCTTCTCATTACTAACATTGGTTTTAGATGTTTTACTGTGTCTTTTGGAGATATTAGAGAACCCTAGAATTAGCCAGCTTTTAAGCCCTCGCTACACTGAATTCTGCAGATGAGGAGTTTACACCATATCCCTTGAACATCCTAACTCCATATATTAAAGGTTCAGTGGGATTCAGTTCAAGGATCTTTGTTACCACGAATCCCCAGGAGGGAAGCAATACCCACTGGTATTTCCATCTTCCCCATCACTCAGCTGACTTAGTGGTCTTTTGTACCACTCAACCCTCCCTTAACTTCAGGCATTTCGTTTGGGTGGAGTGGAGCCCCCATCCCCAGCTCCTGAGGACAGGAGCCTGATTGGCTGAGCCAAAGTATTGCCTGGGTGTAGGGCCAGGCCGTTGACCTAATTCGAACCACAATGCTCCCTGAAATACACTAAACTCTGCGGGAAGCCGGGGGATGGCCCATCAAGGAAGTTTGAGAAATGTAGAAAAAGAGATTCCTGCTTGGGGGAGTCTTTTTTTTAAGAACCTCGGTTATTCCGTCTCCCCCCAGATACTCTTTATTTTTTAATTTTTTAATTAAAATTCTAAAAAATTAAAAAGATATTTATTTACTGTTTGTGGCTGTGCTGGGCCTGTTGCTGCGCAGGCGTTCCTCTGACCGCAGTGCTCGGGGGCTTCTCGCCGTCGCGGTCACGGGCTTCTGATGGCAGTGGCTTCTCGGAGCTGCACACGGGCTCTCGGGGGCCTGGGTTTCAGCAGCTGCGGCCCCGGGCTCTAGAGCTCAGCAGCTGTGGCTCACCGGCTCAGCTGCTTCTTGGCCTGTGGGTTCTTCCCGGATCAAGGACCCAGCCTGTGTCTCCTGCATTGGTAGGCAGATTATTTTTACCACGACGCCACCAGGGAAGCGCTCCCCAGATTATTGAATGATTCCCTCTCAACTGGATGATTACTGTGGTTTTAAATATGCCTAAATGTCTCATATGTTAAAAAAAAAAGAATTTTTTTTTTACATGGATTCCTCCAGCCCACCACCCTGTCTCCTGTCTTTCTTAGCTACCTAATGTGAGTATGTCCTGTCTCCTACCTTCCCTTCTAGTCCATCACTCCTCCACAGAAATGACCCTCAGGGCACCATATCTCCTTGTCAAAGCACACATGGGTGTGTTTCAATCCTCGACTCCTTGGACTCCCCAGTAATAACGGACAGTATCGGTCAATCATTTACAAAATTAAAAGATGCTTGCTCCTTTTTAAGGAAAAAAAGCTATGACCAACCGAGACAGCGTATTAAAAAGCAGAGACGTCACTTTGCTGACAAAGGTCTGTCTAGTCAAGGCTATGGTTTTTCCAGTGGTCATGTATGGATGTGAGAGTTGGACTATGAAGAAAGCTGAGCACCGAAGAATTGATGCTTTTGAACTGTGGTGTTGGAGAAGACTCTTGAGAGACCCCTGGACTGCAGGGAGATCCAACCAGTCCATCCTAAAGGAGATCAGACCTGAGTATTCATTCGAAGGACTGATGAAGTTGAAACTCCAATACTTCGGCCACCCGGTGGGAAGAACTGATGCCTTGGAAAAGATCCTGATGCTGGGAAAGACTGAGGGCAGGAGGAGAAGAGGACGACAGAGGGTGAGACGGCTGGATGGCACCATTGACTCAATGGACATGAGTTTGAACAAACTCTGGGAATTGGTGATGGACAGGGAAGCCTGGTGTGCTGCAGTCCATGGGGTCACAGAGAGTCTGACACAACTGAGCAACTGAACTAAACTGACCTGAACTGGTCAGTCACTGCTTCCTCCTTTTATTATTTTTTTTTGCCACACCACACAGCTTGCAGAATCTCAGTTCCCTGACCTGGGATTGAACACCATGACCCAGTGGTGAAGGCACAGTGTCCCAACTACTGGGCCACCAGGGAATTCTCACTTCTTCCTTCTTCCCTGACATCAAATAACTCTCCTGGTCTCAGTCCCACCTCTTTGACTGCTCCTTCACTGTTCTTTGCAGACTCGTTCTCTCTACCCTCTAAGTGATGGGGTTCTCGCCTCCTCTGACCTTGCAACTTCTCCTTAGACACTTTCATCCACACCCATGGCCTGAGTTACCAGCAGGCCTCAGTCATGAGCCCACCCCTGGGGCTGGCTGGATAGGGACCCCATAATGGAGGTGGGGGGGAACTGTTTCAATGTAATGAGGGGGGACCAGGGTACTATTACCAAAAGAAGAAGAAAGGACGCTGAAGAGTAGAAACATTAAAGACCAGATGGTCACAACAAGCATGCATTCTGGGTAAGCTCATGCAAATAATCAAAACAGGCCCCTTTTAGGTCTCATAAATTTCTTATCATTGGAATCCTAAGCAGGACTGATTAGAGGTCCCCAAAATGCTGATTTCCTTTGAAGACAGAACATTACGTGGTTTGTAGGGGCGGCAGTCTTGGCTAGACAGCTTAGATCACCTTTTTCCAGCCCTCAGCAGCTTGAAAGTATATAGCAAGAAGCAGCGATAGAGGGGGCGGGGGAAGGTAGGCAGACCACCAGCACTTCGGTTCTTCTAAACACACCCCCAAGTCTTCAGCGCCGTGGGGATGCTCTGTCAGAGGATTAGACATCATTTTCTCGGGGCTTTTGTTTTTGCTTTTCTAATAGCTACCTGGGAGAACTCACAGCTGCCTTCAGTTACAGCAGAACTATTTGTATTGTGACCATCTGTGGGGTCTTGCTCAGAGTTAAAGCAAGTGGACCACATGTGGGCCAGCTGTTGGAGTTTTTATTGATATATGTGTAGTTGGGAGAATTCACGTTTTGTTTATTAAGCTGGCCAGCCCACCGGGCTTGGGATGGCCTCAACAATGCACCTAAGGCTAACTCTTCAAACCCAGAAGAATGGTCACCTTCTCCTTCATGTAGTATTCTTTGCTGATCACCTCGAAAGCTGCGTTTGGGGACCTCCTTCTCTGTGTTCCCATGGAAACCCTGTTCTTAGGACACCTTTTCATTGGTAATTTGCCCCTACTACTCTTCGGGCTGCCTGAGGCAGGCTCACATCAGTTAGAACGGATCTGGAATATGGTGCCTGTCAAGTGCGGAGCCAGGGAAACACTATTGAGAATGGAAACCTGGGTCCCCCACAACTCTTCCAAAGTACTCATCCCTCATTCCAATCAGACATAAAAATGTTCTGAATGAAACTAAACCAGCTGCAGAACTGATGTAGGAGCCGAAAAAATGGCAAGACTTTTTTTCACTTGAAAACCAGTCAAGTGAAAGGCTAGATCAGCAGTCCCCAACCTTTTTGGCCCCAGGGACCAGTTTTGTGGAAGACAATTTGTCCGTGGACCCAGGTGGGCAGATGGTTTCAGGATGATTCAAGCTCATTGCATTCATTGTGCACTTTATTCTTATTATTAGTGCATTGTGATATATAATGAAATAATTATACAGCTCACCATCATGCAGAATCACTAGGAGCCCTGAGCTTGTTTTCCTGCGACAAGATGGTCCCATCTGGGGGTGATGGGGAGTGGCTGTAAATAAAGGTGAAGTTTTGCTCACTTATCCACTGCTCACCTCCTGCCATTCAGCCTGGTTCTTAAGGGACCAGGGACCAGTACCAGTCCATGGCCTGGGGGTTGCGGACCCCTGGGCTAGATCAAAAGACCAGAGCCATAACCAATTGGGAGTAAAATATTTTAAAATACCATTTACCATAACACAAAACACTCAGTACTTAGGGATATTTAATGAAAGATCTGCAAATCCTGGGTACTCTGAAAACTAGGAAACACTGCTGAGGGAATTTAAGTGAAAGTGAAAGTCTCTCCGTTTCTGACTCTTTGCAACCCCATGGAGTATACATCCATGGAATTCTCCAGGCCAGAATACTGGAATGGATAGCCGTTCCCTTCTCCAGAAGATCTTCCCAACCCAGGGATTGAACCCAGGTCTCCCATATTGCAGGTGGGTTCTTTACCAGCTGAGCTACCAGGGAAGCCCAGAGGGAAATTAAAGATCTAAATAAATAGATGTTGTACCCTATTCATGGATTGGAAGAAAATATTGTTACGATGTTCATTCTCCCCCAGATAATCCATAAATTCTATGCAATCCAATTCAAAATCCCAGCAAGGTTTTTTTTTTTTTGTAGAAATGAACAAGTTGATTTTAAAATGCGTATGGAAATGCAAAGATCTTAGAATCTTGAAAAAGGAAGAAATTAGTTAAAGGACCTATATTATCTAATTTCAAGACTTACCATAAAGTTGCAGAAATCAAAACTGTGGCATTAGCATAAGAATAGACACAGAGATCAATGGAACAGGCTAGTCCAAAAATAGACCTGCATATATACAGTCAGTTTTTTTCTTTCTTGTTTTTGGCTATGCTGGGAGGCTTGCAGGCTTGCAGGATCTTAGTTCCCTGACCAGGGATTGAACTCAGATCCTCAGCAGTGAAAGCACTGAGTTCTAATCAGTGGACTGCCAGGGAATTCCTAACAGTTAAAAAATTTTTGCCAACAGTGCCAATGTAATTCAATGGGGTAGTAGCAGCATTTTAAACAAATGGTGCTAGAAATAAATCTTGACCCTTACTGCACATAAACATTAACACAAAATGGATCATAGACATAAACATAAAAACTAAAACCATAAAACTTCGAGAAGAAAATGTGAGAGAAAATCATCACAACATTGCATAGATCAAGGTTTTTTTAGGATACGGAAAGTGCAAACTAAAAAAAGAAAATAAATTTATAAATTTAATTTGGTTAAAACAAGAAAATTCTGTTTTTCCAAAATAACATTTTTTAAAAAAGGATTTCAGAGCCCTGTGAAGCATTATTTAAATTCATGTAGGATTTTTTAAAAATTTTGGAAAGAAAATAGTATTCTCTCCACTGCATAAGCTTCAATCTTTCTAAGTAAACAAACACACGCATCAGCTTTATTTTTTGTTCAAGTGAGCCAATGCCATGCAGAGAGTGAGAGGACCTTGGTTTCGGTCACTAACTCTTAGGCCCAGGCGAGACATACTGACCTGTTCACCTAAGGCAAACAATGCCACTGTGGTCAGAAGAGCTCCACATTTTGACCAAAAAGGAAAGCAAAGGCCAGGGCAGAGAAGTGATGGCAAATGTGTGGTCTGGTAGGTAAAGCGACTGTAAGCAGCACTAATGGTAAAGAACTCGCCTCCCGGTACAGGAGACATAGGAGACATGGGTTCGATCCCTGGGTTGGGACGATCACCTGGAGGAAGGCGTGGCAACCCACTGCAGTGTTCTTGCCCATGAAATCCCATAGACAGAGAAGCCTGGCGGGCTACGGTTCACAGAGTCGCACAGAGTCAGACATGACTGAAGGGGTTTGGCTCACAAGTCGGGAAAATGGATTCAAGTATAAAGGTAGGCAGACTGAGAGTCAAATGCAAAGGGGGAAAAATGTTTTGGAACAGGGTGATTTAGATGGAGGCTTAGAACGACACTAGTGAGGGGACTCATTTCTCGTATTCATTGTGCTACTTTCTTTATAACTTAAAACTGCCAGGGAGGATCAGACATACTTGATCTAAGATCCTGTAAGGTGTGGCCCAGTTTAAAACCAACCTGAGAAGGATTTCCCTGGTGGTCCAGTGGCTAAGATTCTGCCCTCCCAATGCAAGGGGCCCAGGTTTGATCTCTGGCCAAGGAACTAGGTCCCAGATGACCTGACTAAAGATCCTGCATGCCACAGCTAAGACTAAGCAGAGTCAAATAAATATTTTATTTAAAAATACGTTAAAAAAAAAACCTAGGACTTCCCTGGAGACACAGTGGTAA